AGGATTCAGGGCATGTGAAACACAAACACCATTTTACTAACCCATGCTATCTTGCTTTCTATTGAAAATGTTAAAGTGTCTTTTGATCATTTCTAATAGGAGAACATGTCCAGTTATACAGCCTACCTCTGAATTACAGTATGTTTTTTTCTTTATTTTGTTTTTCAGTATTTACTACTGATTTCATTTTTCCCCTGTTTACTTATCCTAGAAAGGAGATAGATATGTCTAGATTCAACATCAATGAAGAAATGTTTTTCTCTTTATTCTCAGCTAACGTCTACTTACTTGCTGTTTAAAAACCCTTTGTAAGCTTAAGAGTGAGGTACACAGGTTCCTTCCCAGTATGTAGCCAACATTAATTGATTACTGCTCTTTTATACTGTGATGAGATAAAATTCTAAATCAATATTGTATTAGTCTGTTTCTGTTGCTTATAACAAAATACATGGAACTGGGCAATTTATAAGAAAACAAAATTTATTGCTTACAGTTTCTGAGGTAGGGAAGTCCAAAGTCCAAGGAACACTTCTGGTGGTGGTGACAGTGATCCCTCACATTGCGGGATGGTGGAAGCAGAGAGAGCAGAGACTAACCTCCTCATTCACTCTCTGCCCTCAGGACCACACCCATGACCACCATTTTTAATCCATTCATTATGGCAGGTCCTGCAACCTAATCACCTCTTCAAGGCCCCACCTTTCAATTACCATAATAGGATTTCCCACTCTGAACAGTTACAGTGGGGATTAAGTTTTGGGGAGATATTCAAAGCAAGGCATTCTGCTGAGCCCCCCCAAAACTCATGTCACTTTCACTTAAAAATACATTCATTCCACCCCCAGAGTCTTAACTTGTTTCAACCCAAACTTCCAAAGCTCAAAGTCCCATCTACAAAATCAAAACAAGTTATCTATTTCCAAGATACAATGATGGGACAAGCATAGGGTACATATTCTTGTGCAAATGAGAGAAATAGACCAAAAGAACAGGATAACGGGTCCTGAACAAGTCCAAAACCCAGCAGGGAAGGCAATAAATCTCAAAACTGGCTAATCATGTGCCTTGACTCCATGTTCGAACTCCTCTGCAAGCTGGT